CAATAAGTCCATCTGTGAAAATTTCCTTGCTACTAAATATTCCACGGTCAACTGTTAGTGGTATTATAACAAAGTGGAAGCAACTGGGAACAACAGCAACTCAGCCATGAAGTGGTAGGACACGTAAAATGACAGAGTGGGTTCACTGAAGTGCTGAAGTGCACATTGCGCAGAAGTCGCCAACTGTCTGCAGAGTCAATAGTGAAAGACCTCCAAACTTCATGTGGCCTTCAAATTAGCAAAACAGTGCGCAGAGAGCTTCATGGAATGGGTTTCAATGGCCAAGAAGCTGCATCTAAGCCTTACATCACCAATTGCAATTCAATATGTCAGATGCAGTGGTGTAAAGCATGCTGCCACTGGACTCTAGAGCAGTGGAGATGTGTTTTCTGGAGTGACGAATCACACTTCACCATGTGGTAATCTGATGGGCGTGTCTGGCTTTGGTGGCTGCCAGGAGAATGGCACCTGACTGCATTGTGCCAAGTGTAGTTTGGAAGGAGGGGTGATTATTATGTGGAGTTTTTTCTTAGGGGTTGGGCTTGGCCCCTTAGTTCTAGTAAAGGGAACTCTTAAGGCGTCAGCATACCAAGACATTTTGGACAATTTTATGCTCCCAACTTTGTGGGGATGGCCCCTTCCTGTTCCAACATGACTGCGTACCAGTGCACAAAGCAAGGTCCATTAAAGACATGGATGAGCGAATTTGGGGTGGAGGAACTTGACTGTCCTGTACAGAGTCCTGACCTTAGCCCAAAAGAACACCTTTGGCATGAATTAGAGCAAAGACTGCGAGCTAGGCCTTCTTGTTTTCCTGACCTCACACATGCACTTCTGGAAGAATGGTCAAACATTCCCATAGACACACTCCTAAACCTTGTGGACAGCCTTCCCAGAAAGAGTTGAAGCTGTTATAGCTGCAAAGGGTGGGCCAACTCAATATTGAAGCCTATGAAAAAAGACTGGGATGCCATTAAATTAAAGTTGATGTGCGTGTAAAGGCAGGCGTCCCAATACTTTTGGCAATATAGTGTATCACAAATGCTGTACTGACTCGCCCTCATTACATCTCCCACAATTGCACTACTACATAGTCATGACATTACAAATAGAAGCAGCCGTAACTCCAGGAATATTAGCATAGAAACTATGGCTATCACATAAACCAGCTACCTTTTGCCTCAATTTGCACTTGAAATAGGTAAAAAAAAAATGCATGTTTGAACTGTGTTTTTACTGCCACCCGACCACTCCCCCTTATGCTGCAAAGGCAGAGGAGTAGGGTGCTTTTCCCAGACCAGTACAATCCATTTAACTGAATGGAAGTGCCTGCGCTGTCATGACCCACTGGTGCAGGGTTTCAGGACTTAAAGGGTTAGTTCTCCTTTACCAAAAAACTGCCTATGCAGACAAGGGACATGTGGATAAAAACAAACTGTGCAGCTTTGACTAAAGTTGAATAATGCCCTTTCTATAGGTGTAGCCCATTTACAGTTGTGGCCAAAATTATTCAACCCCCAATGCTGTAAAGGGGTTTAGGGACTATAGTGTACATTTGGAATTGTATTCAGAATCAAATCCTACAAGGACGTTGTAACTACCCAAATGCAACTGACATCAATTGTTTATGTAATACAGTAGTAAATGGTTTCTTATGTGGTTTCTTCATTGCCACAATTATTCAACCCCTTAAAGACTACCACTCTGAAGAACAGAGGTTCATACAGGTGCTTTCCATCAGGTATTGAAAACACCTGTGGATGTCACCGAGCAGCAGCAATCAAGCATAATAAGCACCAATTAGGCAGCTTTAAAATGACTGTGATACTCAGCTCCTTCTAGACATTTACTGGTGTGGTTACAAACATGGTGAAGGCAAGAGAATGGTCCAGGAAGACAAGAGAAGAGGTGATTTCTCTTCACAGGAAGGGCAATGGCTATAAGAAGATTGCAAAGATGTTAAACATACCAAGAGACACCTTAGGAAGCATCATTCGCAAATTCAAGGCAAAGGGCACTGTTGAAACGCTACCTGGTCGTGGCAGAAAGAAGATGCTGACTTCGACTGCTGTGCGCTACCTGAAGCGTAGAGTGGAGAGAAGTCCCCGTGTGACTGCTGAGGAACTGAGAAAAGATTTGTCAGATGTGGGTACAGAAGTTTCAGCCCAGACAATAAGACGCACACTGCGTAATGAAGGCCTCCGTGCCAGAACTCCCAGGCGTACCCCCTTGCTGTCTCCAAAGAATAAGAAGAGTCGACTGCAGTATGCCAAAAGCCATGTGGACAAACCACAAAAGTTGTGGGATAGTGTTCTGTGGACTGATGAAAACAAAATTAGAACTGTTTGGGCCCATGGATCAACGCTATGTTTGGAGGAGGAAGAACAAGGCCTATGATGAAAAGAACACCTTGCCTACTGTGAAGCATGGTGGAGGGTCAATCATGCTTTGGGGCTGTTTTGCTTCTGCAGGTACAGGGAAGCTTCAGCGTGTGCAAGGTACCATGAATTCTCTTCAGTACCAGGAGATATTGGATGGAAACGTGATGCAGTCCGTCACACACCTGAGGCTTGGGAGACGTTGGACCTTTCAACAGGACAATGATCCCAAGCATACCTCCAGTCCACTAGAGCATGGTTGCAGAGGAAAGGCTGGAACATTTTGGAGTGGCCATCGCAGTCACCAGACTTAAATCCGATTGAGAACCTCTGGTGGGACTTAAAGAAAGCAGTTGCAGTGCGCAAGCCTAAGAATGTGACTGAACTGGAGGCCTTTGCCCATGAAGAATGGGCGAAGATACCCGTAGATCGCTGCAAGACACTTGTGTCAAGCTATGCTTCACGTTTAAAAGCTGTTATAACTGTAAAAGGATGCTGTACTAAGTACTAAGATTGAATGTCACTTGGGGGTTGAATAAAACTGATAATGCTGTGAGCACAGAAAAGACATTTGTGGTTATTTCATTATAACTGTTATGTTATATTTGTCTGACCTACAAGTGCCTCTTTAATGTAAATGTAAGCAAGATGACTGAATGATCAAAAGCAATGTCAAACTGGCCAAAACACTCAATTTCAGTGGGGGTTGAATAATTTTGGCCACAACTGTACATACCTCATGAAGCCTGACCTGAAAACTCCCAGGATGTTGCTAGGATGTTGCTAAGCGAGGCCTAGCTATTACTGTTCACCTGCACCATTTTAGGTGTGAGCTGTGTCTCTGATTCAAACTCCCTCACATACACTTTCTCTCCCCTGATGTTTCTCACAAGTTTGAGAGCTCACACTTGTGATGGTGAAGGTGAGCAGCAATGACTAGGCCATGTTTAGCAACGGCTTAGCGACATCTTGGGAATATTCCAGTCAGGCTTTGTGAGGTTTGCAAATGCCCCACACCTATAGCAAGGGCAATATCCAGTTTTGGCCAGAGCTGCACAGTTTGTTTTTATCTCCAGATAGATCTCATAGACAGTTTTTTGGTAAAGGTGAATTATTAATACAGGTGATGAGGAGGCAATATCAATGCCTCCTCATTCAATATGGATCGCAAGTGGAAATAAGGCCTTTCTGATGTAGCTGTCTGTGTTTCCCATAGCAACCAATCAGTTGATCTTCTGCAAAAGCGGCGACCGTCAACAAGCGGTTAAATGACACAACAGAATGACATTAAAATTTCCAGTGAGGGTTCGGCCTTTTGTGAAAGAATCTATTTACTGTGCATTGATGATATTGCTTACTGTTACAATTCCCACCCTGCTACTTTGTATTCATACCACAATATTGTGGAATAGTTTGTTATCAACAAAAACAGCTATGTTTACTTGGAAGCACATCTCTGTGAAATCTGTTTATTGCTACATATGCCGTCCCCCCCACTGTTTAATTCGCTGACAGCCACAAGACATATTAATACGTTTCCCATTCCAAGTTACAAGGAAAGCTTTGCGCGCTGCTGACTGGTGACAGAAGGCAGGATTTTTATTGTAGATAAATATTTAGGCTTGAAAATAATTTAAGACGTACATTACCAGAAGGGCCGTTACTGTTGTGAGTCAAATAGCGAGGGTGCTGTAAACAAAAGGCAGTTACAGAAGCAGCACATTCAAAGACAAAGGCCTTCTGGGAAATATCAAGAGTGTCTGTCTGTCACGGCTCTCTGGGATTTCTTTCTGTATGTGTGTCTTACCAGGTCCCTCTGATTTTAGCTAGCATTCATATACTGCATGTAAAGTTGGAGAAGCTGTGTTGCCCATAGCAACCTTCATGTATTAACCACTTGCCCTCCTGGGGATTCACCCACCTTCCTGACCAGGCCATTTTTTACGTTATGGCACTGCTTTACTTTAACTGACGATTGCACGGTCTTCCAACGTTGCACCCAAATGAAATTTACGTATTTTTTTCCCACAAATTGAGCTTTCTTTTGGTGGTATTTTATCACCTGTGCTTTTTTTTTTGCGCTATAAAAAAAGCGACAATTTTGAGAAAAAAAACAATATTTTTGACGTTTTGCTATTAAACATGTCCAGTAAAAAATTTTACAAATCTAATTTTGTCATAAATTTAGGCCAAAATGTACTCTGCTACATGTCATTGCTAAAACAAAATCCCAATACATGTAAATTAACTACCTGCCGACCGCAGATAGCCGAATGACGGCTTCACTGCGGCCGGCCAGTTCTGGGTGGACGTCATATGACGTCCCCCCAGAACGCGCTCTCCTGCGCGCCCCAGGGGCGCGCACCCGGCGATCTCCGTGATCGCTGTGTCCTACAGACACAGCTGATCACGTGATGTGGTAAAAGGCCAATCACAGCGGCCTTTTACCACCTGATCAGCGGTGTCCAATGACACGCTGATCAGAGGGAAATGCAAGTGCCGGTTCTCGGCTGCACTTTCCTCACGCTGTCAGATCGTGAGGAAAGTACTGCCGAGAACCGGCAGTTGTCACAGCGGGGATCGGCACCGATCATCAAGGCACTGATGATCAGTGCCCTGATGATCGGTGCCCAGCAGTGCCACCCGCAAGTTCCGCCCACCTGTGCTCAGCAGTGCGCCCACTAGCTCCGCCCACCTGTGCCCAGCAAATCACCCACCTGTGCCCAGCAGTGCACCCACCTGTACCCAGCAGTGCACCCACCTGTGCCACTCTGCAGTGTCACCTACCTGTGCCCAGAAGTGCCACCTACATGTGCCCAGCAGTGCCACCCACCTGTGCCCACCCACCTGTGCCCACCAGTGCCACCCACCTGTGCCCACCCACCAGTGCTGCCCACCAGTGCCACCCACCAGTGCAGCCCAGCAGTGCTGCCAGTCAGTGCCACCAGTCAGTGCCCAGGGGTTGTGCCAGTCAGTGCCGCCAGTCAGTCCCCAGCAGTGATGCCAGTCAGTGCCGTCTATCAGTACTCATCATCAGTGTCACCTATCAGTGCCGCCTATCAGTGCTGCATATTAGTGCCGCCTATCCGTGACACCTCATTAGTGCTGTCTATCAGTGCCGCCTATCCGTGCCACCTCATTAGTACTGCCTATCAGTGCCCTTTAGTGCTGCCTATCAGTGCCCATCAGTGCCGCCTATCAGTGCCCATCAGTGCTGCCTCATCAACGCACATCAGTGAGTGAAGGAGAAAAAATGCCTGTTTGAAAAATTTTATAATAGAAACAAAGAAACTTTTTTTTTTTTTCAATTTTTTTGCACTTTTTTAATTTATAGCGCAAAAAGTAAAGCGCCCAGTGGCAATTAAATACCACCAAAAGAAAGCTCTATTTGTGAGAAAAAAATTATCAAAATTTCATATGGGTACAATGTTGCATGACCGCGCAATTGTCAATCAAAGTGTGGCAGCGCTGAAAGCTGAAAATTGGCCTGGTAAGGAAGGGGGTATAAGTGCCTGGTAGGCAAGTGGTTAATTGGTTTTATGTGGAAGTTATAGCGTTTACAAATGATACTGGAATTAATTTTTTTTAACTAGTAATGGCGGAGATCAGCAACTTAAAGTGGGACTGCAGCGGACATTCTGACACTGGGGGGAACTGACTTGGTGTCATTGACATCCCCAGTGACACCAATACAGTGATCAGTGCTAAAACAAAAAACACTGACACTGTACTAATGGCACTGGGCAGGAAGGGATTAACATGAGGGGCGATCAAAGGGTTAACTGTGTGCAGGGAGTGTTTTACTAGGGGGCTGTGTCTGTGTGCTTCACTGTAATCACACTGCTCTGGATGGCTGTGCTGTGCATCCAGAGCAGTGTGCCCGAGCTGACAGGGAGGAGAGCTGCTAGTAAACAAAACAGTCCTCCTCCCTGTCAGAGGTGCTTGGTAATCACCGGGCTCCGGCTGGTAATCACCAGATGAGACCCGTGATTGACAGCCATGGGTGCAAACCCGGAAATGCAAAATCACATATATATGTGATTTTGCGCACCCCTGCTGCCCTGTAGCATTATATCTGCTATAGGGCAGTGGGAAAGCAGTTAATCTCTTTCTGCCAGCCCCAGCATCCCTTTAACTGAGCTTGTACCCCTGGGTGATGGGAAGGTCTGTCTAATCATATGACCACTGTAATTGGCTGTCACAATAATCACATGATCATGACCTAGTCCTGCCAGTTCCCAATCTCTCTAGTACAGATGGAGAGCTGAAATCTTCTGCCACCCATAGACGCATATGTGCAGCATGTGGGTGTTAAAGCCCATCCTATTTGCCGCTGCATATATGCATTATGTGTGAGGTAAAAGGTTAAGACACCTGACAAGTGTTCTTCTTTCTGGAAATTATTTTGGAAATAATTCCATGTCCCACTAGGCAGGAGGCAGTAAATATGTAGCCATGACAAATGGCACATGAAACATATTATCCCATTTAAGGGCATTGTACATTGTGTGCCTTACCTTGTAATAATAGGATCACATGTTGTGGCTACAAATTATAGTGTCATTGCCTGATTGATTCCCCTATATCCATGTATTCATTAACCTAGCTTGTCCCTATCCACTAAAGAGACAGGTACTGTAACTTCTTGCTCCAGGTCACGCAGCATCCAATCCATGCCACGTCCATGTATTCATTCACCTAGCTTGTCTCTATTCACTAAAGAAACAGGTACTGTAACTTCTTGTTCCTAGTCACACAGCATTAAATCCATGCCTTGCCATTGCCTCTGTGTTGCATCACAAATATGGCGGTGTATAGCACATATCAGCTGTGTGAAAAAGCCCTTAGCCTGTAGCTTGACCCAGGAGCGGACTGACCATTCGAGCACTCGGGCACTGCCTGAGGGCCCGGGGTCAGTAGGGGGCCCCATCAAATGCCCCTGGCACCTTTTTTATAGGCTTTTTTGAGTGTGGGCAAGGACACAGGGGCCCCATGATCCCCTATTGCCCGGGGGCCCCATGAGTTGTCAGTCCGCCCCTGACTCGATCTTCTGCTTTTATTTTTCTGTTAGTTCATGTTTCGTGATGAGCTTGGGTGCAGACTGAAGTTTTGTTTGGATGAACCCGGGAATAAGCTGTCATTGCCATGTGGTCATATTAGATCAATGATGTCACGAGTATTCCCGCCCCTTTGTGTATTTGCAGCTGCGGGGCAGCAGAATCCACCATCCTGCAGCTCATTGGCTCAGCAATGACCGCTGTGTTTTAGGTTCGAGCCAAATGCAAGTGTACCTCTTTTACGTTCGAAGCACCTCTGCAAAGTGTGGTCCTGAACTCATAATAATCTGAGATCCCAGCTCAGGACATACATATAGCAACAAGCAAACTGACAGCAGTTAACCCTTGGAGGTAACCTGTAAGGGTTCCTCTCATTGGATGGTGGTCTGTGCCATGCTGTCCTTGGACCCACTTTGCTTCTTTTTGAATGTGACAGTCACCTACCTGTTGTTTGGAGAAACTCTGCCACACACGCACTGTCACACTACTCCTGGCCTGAGACCTGCCATACACATTCCTGGCCCAAAGCCTGTTACCTGGAATGAACAAATATCAACTCAAAGTGCATTTTAACCAATCAACTGCATAACTTCTCTCCAGCAAATCACTTAACCACTTGCCTTCCAGAGGATTTAACCCCCTTCCTGACCAGGTCATTTTTTGTAATATGGCGCTGCGTTACTTTAATTGACAAATGCGCGGTCATGCAACACTGCACCCAAATTAAATTTACATCCTTTTTTTCCCCACAAATAGAGCTTTCTTTAGGCGGTATTTGATTGCCTGTGTGTTTTTCTTTTTTTTGTGCTATAAACAAAAAAAGACCAACAATTTTGAAAAACTATATTTTTGACTTTTTGCTATTAAACATGTCCAGTAAAAAAATTTTAAAAATCAAATTCCGTCATAAATTTAGGCCAACATGTATTCTGCTCCATGTCTTTGCTAATTAAAAAATCCCAATACGTGTAAATGAGTTGGTTTACGTGAAAGTTATAGCGTCAAATGGCGGTATATATACTGGAATGGCGGTATATATACTGGAATTGTTTTGGGTCTCAGCATTCAGGCACTCAGGTCGCCCACCTGAGGCCTCACAACAGCAAACATAGCAGCATTGCCTGGAAGGGCTGGACTAATCCTCTCCAGGAAAAGATTCAGTGCTTTGTGTGCTCAAGAATATATACAGTCTCCCAGCATGTCTTCAGACAGCCTCTCTGGAATAGGCTGTATCAATATTCATACTGCCATCTGCATAGCTACACACCTATCATCCAGGCTCTCTGGATACAGAGGAAGCTATCAGACTAGCAGCAATTGAAACTGAGTAGACCTAACTAGCAGAAAGCAGCTTCACCGAATACAATGAGCAAACTACTGTATGCTTTTACCTAACAAAAATCACAGCCATGCTGGCTACAGTGTGGTAGATAAATGTACCTATCAAAACTAAATAAATAATAAATCTTTCTATCCAAACCTAGCACCTGTCTAGGAGAGTGCTACATATGGAAGGGATTATGTACAATTAAAGATCATCATTACTATGTCAGGACTAATTTGCAAAAATAGAGCAAAGAGAATTAGACGTATTGCATAAAGTTATGATAGGTCTTTATCTTTCAGATGAAACAAGGTATTTTGGTAATTTGGGAAGCCCTTCTATTTGCTCTAATTTTCTGAAATCCATCTCACAAAATGTCATTCTTAATGTACCGTCCTTTCGATATTTGCACTTATATAATGTAAAAGGTTTGATCTGTAAACTGTAATGTATTTTGCTATGTATTCTAGTGATGGATTAGAAACTTTCAAGAGTTACAGCAAGGTCTGTGGACTGGAGTTACTAAAAGAGGTCATTGGAAGTATCACGAAGTGAAAGGAATGTAGGCCACAAATCCCGTGGGCTTCTATAGCTGCTTCAACAATGCAAAACTCTTCGAAGTGTTGAAATGTAGGATTTTAAGTTGAAGAGTTGTTGAGAAGGTGTGCGTGGGCAGTGTGTGTGTTTTTAAGGCATCAAAGGTAATTGGTTTTTTAACATGGGCGGATATGTGCATCGGTATGAAAACATATGATATTATCAATGTAAATGAATGCAAGCAAAAATGTTTGAAAAAAAATGTAAGTGTATGTGAACCCTCACCTTGTAAATCAACCAATCATTGTAATATAGTCATGAATGGCAAAACACATTTGTGTATATACAGTATCTCCCAGAATTGAGTAGCCCCCTCACATTTTTGTAAATATTTTATTATATCTTTTCATGTGACAACACTGAAGGAATGACACTTTGCTACAATGTAAAGTAGTGAGTGTACAGCTTGTATAACAGTGTAAATTTGATGTCCCCCTCAAAATAACTCAACACACAGCCATTAATATCTAAGCCTGCTGGCAACAAAGTGAGTACACCCCTACGTTTTTGAGCTTGCAACAGCACAGTTCATTAGCAAATTTACTTAAAGTGGTATTAAATCCAAAAACAATAAAGTAATATTTAGCAGTTTACCAATCCTTAAATGTCGTGGCTGCATCTGTGGACCACAGCATTGTTAGTCTGGGGATATGATTAGACTGATAAGGCTCTTGAACCAGATAGCTTACAAAAAAAAAATACTCAAAAAGTTGAGTATGTTGATTTCTAATTAATTAATTGTTTCTATTTTTTTTTACTTTATTAACTGGCATGGCAAAAAGTAAATTCTCTACCTATTTTTTAAAGGAAGCAACATATTCATCTAGCAATTACATACCTGTTAGTTTAAAGGTCAGTTTAAAGGTCAACTCCAGGCTGGCAAAAAATATGGAATCTAGCTGCCACCTCTTCCTTTCATGTATATACAGGTTGTATTGCTTGTTTAGATTATGGGGACTGTAACATAGAGAATTACTTAATTTAATCCATGGTCTTGCAGGCTTCCTCCCCACAGGTTTCAGTATCGATGACCAGTCTGTAAGCAAGTGCAGTTAGCTAGTCTGCCACTAGGTGGCTCTGTCCCAGACTAGTGTAATCAGGTGCTAGGTCCCTTTTAGTTAGAGCCAGGGGCGGACTGACCATTTGAAAACTCGGGCACTGCCCGAGGGCCCTGGGTCAGTAGGGGGCCCCATAAGATGCCCCTGGTACCTTTTTCATAGGCTTTTTTGAGTTTGGGCAAGGACACAGGGGCCCCGTGATCCCTTATTGCCCGGGGGCCCCATGAGTTGTCAGTCCGCCCCTGGTTAGAGCCCTCCTGTAGTGATGTCCTATGTGAGTCAATTTCCATATATACGCCAGGCTGGGAGGGGCTTTAGTGAAGTTGGGGCACGGGAGCCAGAGACCCCACCATCAGGCAGACATAGTGACTGCTATGCTAAGATTCGTCAACTATATATGATCAACAAAATGCTGTCTAGTGATCCCAGCTAGTATGTCTGTGTGATGTGAATGTAATGCCATGTCGCCTCTCACCTCATTGATGTCAACACATACATTGCAGGACCAATGGCTTCAATGTAAGTGATTTTGCTAAGGGCGTAATAAGGAACAAAGAATGGCGAAGCATCAGCTGCCACAACACTGAAGCGTAAGGTAATTATGACTCTCACTTTTATATCCCCCCAGATTAAATGTACATATACCTGGAGGGGTAGTCATAACTCTTTTTTTTTTAAGTTAGCTAGAGTTCTCCCATTTTCTTCTATTTTTGGGAAGATATTTGAGAGGTCATTAAGGCACAGGATACGAAAGTATGTACTAAAAGTAATATTATAACTTATAGCCAGCAAAGATTTAAAAAAGACAGATGTTAACATATAGCGAGAAACATTGACAGATGGATGGCTGTGGATATATATTAGGGTTAGCTAAAGCAGTTCCTCACAGCAGCTTCATGTATAAATTAAAATCTATAGGTTTTGAAATTCAGCCTGTAAATAGATAGAAAACTGCTTTAAATACTACATTCAAAAAGAGTTCTGGTTATCGA